AATATATTGTTAATTTAGTATAAATAACTGATATAATTTTATAATATACCATAATAAATCACTTACATTGATAACTCTGATAAAAGTTCAACGAACGTTAAACGAATGTTAAACCAAATGTAATAATTGTTTAGTGTTTTTAAAGTTATGATCATTCAATATCATTATGTTTGTGCACATTTCAGTTTCTCCAGTAGTCTGGGTGACAAATCAGATTGTAAGTGCACCACTTAATACACATGTGCGACTGGAGTGTTTTGTAGAGTCGTTTCCCAATTCCGTCAATTATTGGTCAGATGATAAAGGAGAAATGATTCGTCAAGGGTAAGTGCATTTAGTATATACACATATATAAATAATTGGACGATAATTTACTTACCTACATAACATTTAACTATCTACAACTATAAACAGTATAGGTAAACACGATGCTACTCTATACTAGTAAAATAAATATAATAAAAGGTCTTTGTGTGGCACGGTGCTCGGTGCAGTTAATTATTTGTACTGTGGTAAAACATAATCCGACGTCGTTAATATTAACCTTACTAACAAATCCCCGCCTAAAATAACATGTTTTCTCCCTACAGTAAAAACAGGTGCRATAAAATATTATAAACGAGTATATAAAAAAAAAAAATATGCAACAAAACCATAATGAAATATTTAGACAAATTTAAAATTCCTTTAAACATAATATCAACAATTTTAACATTATTATTAAAGCGAAACCTATATAGGCGTGGTAGCAAGTCAGATTCGTKGGCACAACCATTTTGACCAAAAAGCGTCACGGGCATCTTTTATTTGAATGAGTGACTAACTACCGTGGTGCAATGTTGCAAGACAAGTCTTGTAACAACAGTAACTCTGTGCAAATGTTCGTAAAAATCAAAATTTTTCGTATGTCAGACAACACTGATCGCAGTGTGTGMCATGATATATTAAATTTATTTATTTTAAATAATTAAATGTGTCATGGTTTATTCCACGCATATCTGTGAACACTATTTGATTCATATTATCAACAGTAATCAGATAAGAATAAAGCTGAATAGGGAATAATTCACTCAAAAGTAGCCTGTGCCCGTCACGAACCTAGTTGCGTTTCGTCTCAACGGTTGTCATAAACAATGTGGTGTAATTACTATGCGGTCCATGTTTACAGTAACCAGTAGGTAGTTTAGTTTGAGAACTCATGACTAATGGTCGGTATCTGTCGGGTGAGTAACGGCGGATTCCCACTAGTTTTCGTGTCGTGGGCTATAGACAAGTAATAAGTATGTCAGCATTATGTGTGCAGGCGGTAAAACATCTCGCAGTGTCGCAGTGATGTATATGTATATGTCTTGACGACAAAATTTAATATAATAATTTATTTATCTACATATCTCACCRRYCACCGTACTACCCCTCACTAACATATAAGTAACCGTAAATTGCCCTTTATCGTTTGCCACTTTCCATATACGTATCGATTTTCTAGTAGTTTAAGGTCTATATTGAATATTATATTGTTTTATTATATATGTGAAATTTCTATAGACGTGRTAGCGTAAGTTGGATTCATGATCTTAGCCATTGCGACCAAAAATCATTACAAGCGTGGATTACTCGGTATCAATGGTTGGTAATAGAATGTCAAAAATGTAATATATAATAGGTAATATTTAATAAAAATATAATTGAATTCCTACGAGTAATCATATTAGGTGTTACTTTTCCATACGCATTTTGATTTCAATGGTGTGCGATTTGGCACACTCGGTTATTCTTTTATAATTTAATATGTTTATTTTATTTTTAATTACAAAATTGATTGTATTGATTGACATATGATTAATAATATTAAATTGAATAGGTACCTAAATATAATAACGTAAATGTTTCATCATTAAATTATTTGAACTTTTTTTTTCTATTTGAACCGACAGGCGACAGCGCCGCGGKAAAAGCTTTCGCATTACTGCCACGGCGCGGCACTGCAAATTATTTGAACTTATAAATAACAAATACAACTATTATTCCTATAGAATTAATTAMTAAAAATCGGGTAAGTTGTGGATGTCGCTCTGCTGTATAGACGGTTATATGTAGTGTGACCATAATTATTTTATCCTAAAGGGGGACACTTTAAAAAAAGAGGTACGTAAAAAATGTAAATACATAATAATAGCATACATTACATTTCATTTTATTTAAAATTATTTTTTATTGATAAACAAATCAGACAAACATTAGATATTACATATTTTAAAATGTTAAAGTTTTTACTTAAACTGTAACGAGACAACCACGTCATGTTACTGCACTTAGTCGACAACAATCTCGTATTACTACATTTAGTCGATAACATCAACACAGTACGCACTTCCGACGCATGATGTCAACAATAGAGAGCGCCCGTCTCAGTGTGACCATGTACCTGCGACAAGTTCAGCTTAATATTACTACATTACTACCTTAAAAGTTAAATGTTACGGCATCGGAATGGTACTACCAGTACGAAAATGTCATATATGCATCGGCCCAGTGGTATTACGAAAAGATAGACATCAAAGGATGTCAAATAGTACACATGTCCCAGTATCCCGCGCATTTGCTACGGGACCGTCACGGACACCACGGCAGGCATCCTTACCTTCCCAGTCTACAGTCTGGCGACACGGTACCGATCAGAAGTGAAATAAAGCGCTGATTACCGGGCTACGATCTTTAGACCGTAGCAAACTGGATTAATCTGCTTATCACTTGCATCGTTTGTACCGTCGTCGACCAGACCGACCCGGACAAAGAAGCAAGCCAACCAGCC